TACAAAAACGTGCATATAAATGTGATGTTTGTGTTAAAGCTTTTCTCTTGTGTACTGGAGAAATGAAAAATGCAAATAACTAATTTGAATGATTATGTCAAGCTTTACAAGAAAAAAAGATTGTAGAACATGACTTAAATGAAGTTCCGATTTATTTTTGAGTTGGAATGAGTACTCTGTGTTTTTTGTCGAGCCTTTTGCTTTGAAAAGTTTGAAAATCGCGTGGAAATCTTACTGTGCACCTTTCGCCAGTTACGACAGGGCTATCTCGATCGCGTTTGCAATCTGGAAATTACCTCTTCTCTCAATCATCAAGAGCAGGTGATTTGCCAATGGTAATTCCTTCTCTGTCATTTGTCTATTGCCTTGACCGACATGTTCAAATTTTCCTTTCAATCGTCTGTTATTCCACGCGTGTGGTATTATGCTAAGACACAACAGGCTGTTAATGGTTTTCTTGTTCCTGTTCAATATCAGAATTTGAATTCTCATTTGAACTCGTCGCATATTTTATATAATTCTCTCTGGGAGAATTTGCACGATCATCAGGCACTCTGCTTTATACGTAACCTCGACCAGTTTTACATTGCAAATTCTTGGACAGTCTGACAACATTCAAGACAAGCAAGAATACTCACCGCAGTGTTTGGGATTAAAGAGTTATGAGATTACAGATTAATATGAGTTCGTCGTCTGAGGCGCGATAGTGAAAGCAAGTGTCTGGCAGAAGGCATTTGTAATGTGGACTTTTTGTAGATGAAATTCTAGTCTATGCAAAGGTACGTACTTGTAAGAGCACTTCTCTGTTGCTTTCTTTACAATAGCTCAGACCAACTAAAGTGACCGCAGGCTCGGCGAGGCATGATGTATAAGCGTCTAGATTCACTTGATTTTAATGAATACGCGTAAATGAATTTCCTTACGACGAGTAACGAAACCGTCTCTATAAACGTGTATCTGAAGGCCTTGCGAAATATTCGTCTTTTTAATGGCCCAGGTTTTGTTGTAATGAAAATCCTTCTCTAAAACATCATTATAATACTTCATCTTACTAGTTGNGGATTAAAGAGTTATGAGATTACAGATTAATATGAGTTCGTCGTCTGAGGCGCGATAGTGAAAGCAAGTGTCTGGCAGAAGGCATTTGTAATGTGGACTTCTTGTAGATGAAATTCTAGTCAATGCAAAGGTACGTACATGTAAGAGCACTTCTCTGTTGCTTTCTTTACAGTGGCTCAGACTTGCTAAAGCGAACGCAGGTTCGGCGATGTAAAAGAGTCTAGATTCGCTTGATTCTAATGAATACACGGAAATGAATTTCCATACGACGAGTAATGAAGCGGTCTCTATAAACGTATATCTGTAGGCTTTGCGAAATATTCGTCTTTTTTAATGGCCCAGGTTTTGTTGTAATGAAAATCCTTCTCTAAAACATCATTATAATACTTCTATCTTCCTAGTTGAATCTTGCTGTGTCGTCTTACTGTACATATAGGCTGAGGATTTGGAAAATGGATTTATATCAAGAAATGCAAACGCTTTTTTGTTTAGAATACCTGTTTTTTTTGTTATTGTGGTTCAGCTTTGGTAAAGAACTTATTATCCAGATCGAATGCAAAATATCTTTTATTAACATTTCGTTTTTGTTTTGGCAGCATAGCTGACAGACGTAAATTATAATTCGTTATATCGAGGTAGATTTTACGTCTGGGCTTCCGGATTATGTTCGTTATATCGAAGAATTCGTTACATCGAGGTTCGGTATATCGAGGTTCTATTCCATACATTTTACTATAACTTTGGCCGGGACAGAGAATATCGTTCGTTATATCGAGGACTTCGTTAAATAGAGGTTCGTTAAATCGAGGCTCCACTGTAGTTCTTTAGTGAAATTTATATCCTCAGACAACACCAAAAAGTCTCTCAGTTGCTATTGCCGGCGTGGTTGAACATTTTTCATCACGCAGGACTGAAAGTCCAAGTGTGAGCATCACAAACTCGCCGCGAAATTTAATTTCCTTTATAAACTAACTAGCTGGTTTCTTAGTTAACTCATCACGTTTAGTTAATCTAAATGAATTGCGAGTCACATGGCGAGACCTCATTGCCATGTCGGCCTCGGTCCCAGGCCTGTCATTTAGGATCAAGCTTCCTGTTGTAGAATCGTTATACTGTACACGTTTGTTGCTTTCACAAGTTAGCCATATCCGAGTTACCTTTTGTCTCTGTTTAAAAACGAGTCCTCGGTCAAAGCTTTTCTTATGAAAATGAGTTTGATTTTAATGAAAATGAATTTACAGATACTTACAGATACTTACAGATACACATTTTCATAACAGTGTTTTAGCACGAAGACTCGTTTTGGCACAGAGACAATGCGCAACTCGGAATTGGGTTATTGAGCATTCACCGTAAAATGGATGAATTAATGTAGCGCTGTGATTGATACATGTAGTAAGCTAAGCTAAATTATTTTTATTGCTTGCATTTTTTTTGTTCTACGATTTTCAGACTTTTTTTTGAACGTGTAAAAAATGTTCAAGTGTCATACCAATGCACAGCTTTTAACAGTCAAAGATATTTGATCTGCCTTGTTCCGCTCCTGCAAGTCTGTGTTTGTAACTTGACACTTGCTCCCAAATATTGTATAGCATTCAGATAACCTCCAACATGTCGAGACATCTTTCAAAACATTTCAAACGTTTTCACATTTAAACATTCCGAAGAAATTGTATGAAACCAATACAGTTAATTTTACTACCGAGATTCTCTGCACTCCAAGTACGACCTTTATTTATCATCTTGGAGCTTAAATAATGTTAAGGTGTGTCAAAAAATGTGTGTTATGTTATTAACTCTTGCGTTATTTACTGATAGGTTATCGTGGCGGTCTCCAAGCTGATGACGCACGGTTTAAACCGTGCAGCTGTCAACAACTCTCTTTTGGCCTTAAAGAATTATGCTGTCGAGGACAAAGGAATGAAGGTAAATTCATTTCTGTTTCTAAACCGATTAGTTACGTACTGCACAAAATTTGAGGTCATTTTCATGTTTTTGACAACCTTTGATGAAAGCATCGTGTAAGCAATACCGAGACAGTAACCCAGTATTAATGTGGAAGAAAGTTGAGTGGAGGTAGACTTGATTACCAGCCGCTGTTCGGGAAATGAGCCCGCGCTTCCCCGGGAGGAATGTAAACCGGACTGGAGAAATCGGTGGAATCGAACCTTGAGTGAAGGAAAATTTATTGTTGAGACGTTTGATGGTGGGAAGTTTGCAGCGGAAATTTAATGGCGAGAAATTTGATGTTGGAACTTATTTGCTTTTGGTGTGAAATCTACTGGCGTTGTTCTCCGTACTCTTGTGGCCGAATTTCTTTTTAGTTGTTTTGGTCTAATTCAATTTATTTGTACATTTTCTCTTTCTCTTAGCACACGGCGTTTCCTTCTGAAGTGAAAGATCTTACGAAGAAGATTCACACTGTTTTGCAGGCGACGGCGCAAATGAAGGTACGTCACCGATTTGTCCTAAAAGGTAAAAAAGGTTAAGTCTGCATACGAGCCAAATGGCCCATCAGGCCGGAGCTATCTCGCTTTCTGTAGCATTCAGCGACTAGGAATATTTCTACTCCCCCTGGGTAGGAGGCTAGTCGATCGCGGGGTTATCCCCCAGAATTAAATTCGCCGGTACCCATTTACACACCTGGGTGGAGAGAGCCACTATGAGAGTAAATTGTCTTGCCCAAGAACGCAAAACAGTGTCCCCGCCGAGGGCTCCAACGCGGACCGCTCGACCCTGGGTCGAGGGCACTAACCTTGAGGTCACCGCGCGTACCATCTCTGTCTGAAACTGAGCCCCAAAAACAGGCTGTGATTTCCTTGAGAGTGCTTGGTTGCTAGGAAACTTGGCATATCTCGATGAATGAAAGAAAGTGACGTCAGGCGAACTTGACAGCTTTTGTAATGCTTGTTCAAGTCTTTGATTGTTCGATAAGATTCAGTTTTGTGAGAATGCTGAGAAATTCTGTCAAATCTTCGTTCAGTTCTCAATTCATATGAATGTGGGATTGTTTAGAATTGATTAGCCTTTACTACCCTAGTGTGTGGCTCGTTTTAAGCTTGGAAATTATTTCCTTATCTTTTTAAGAGCAATTTGTACACGCACACGAGAAAATGATTAGATTTTAAATAAGCATTTTTTTTTTCTATGATCTGAGCTTGGACGCTAACAAAATGTGAAAAATAAAACCAACCTGAATGGGTCAATTGCGCTTCCATCGATCAAGGTTTGAATAGGGCGTAAAATTGGTATTGAACTAAGAATTTTGATTTGCTGATGTTTTATGTTAGTCGGTACAGTTTTGATCCCTACATTAACGGTTGGAAATGTGCTTTTAGCATTCCAAAAACAGTGTAGTTTGGGTGACACACGTAGAGGAGTTTATAAACATAATTGCGATGTTTTTACACACGTAATGGGCTCTTACAAGGATATTACTTAATAACTTAATATGTATTTCCATTTAAAGCTTGCGAACATGTCACATGTGGCCGTTTTATGATAGCCCCGGGAATTCTCCTAAAATTTGCTGTCCTTTTTTTTTACTGATCACGCCTCTCTGTCGACATCGGCATCACGTTTGGCGGCACTTGGGGCTACAAACTGTAGTCACGTTTTATTGTCTACTTCTCGTGCACAATCAGTTCATGATTTTTAATTTTTAAAAACGATTTTAATGTTTTTTATTTTGTTATCATTTTTTTTTCTTGTCCCTGCCAGGGCATCGATGTACTAAGGGAAAGTAGATTAGGTGCATTTTTTTAAAACTTCTAAGCATTAGATGATTTACTTGTTAAATTTTGTATTAACGTAGGGATCAAATGGAAAAATTCATGTCATTACCGAGTTTACTTTACTGCTTTATCTGACATTTACCCTAACGGGCAAACATGTCGGAATGATCGTGTCTTAGAATTCGTTTCAGACACGCTAAGGGGGTCTTTAACGATTTTGCTCGGAGCAAAATTGCCGCAAATTAAACTTTTAATTTGTTTCTGAAGAGAAGTTCAGGCCATTAACTGGCCGCAACAAATTCTGGAGATAATGAGGTGGACTTTTTATCAGTCGAAAGAACCCAGCGATTCGCAGTGATTTATCTGAAGAAATCATTTTTCGAAGCGACTGGAAATGAAAGATTGCTTGCGATTCTGTTGGATACAAAGTCATACGTGACAGAACCGTGTTTGAAACTGAGTGAACTTGGTTTAAGAGATAACAGTCTTTTGAAAAACCTAACAACGTTTCTGCAGAGATCAGATTTTGTCGTCGTTCCTCCGAGCAAAGAACACGGAAAACTTGTGCACTGCTTTCATATCCAAGAGCATCGTCTAATCGTCCGTTTAGAGGTAAAAACAATGTCCCTACGAGCATTGGCCTACGAAGAGGTTAGTCACGAGCCATGTTGCAAAACTGGAAAATTGCGAGTGAAAAAAAGAGTCAGACTGCATGCAATCGAAGAATTTGCCGCCCAGCAGTTGGTTGTTCTTCCGATATTAACTTCTCCTTCGCCTCTGAGTCCAGAAAACTTACGCCAAACTTTCTTTATGGTATGTTCTTCAGTGCAATGTTGTTTCATAAAAAGTGTCTCTTTAGTTCTTATGCTTGCTTGTTTTCCGCTTTTTGTGGGTATTTTTGGTTTTAATATTTTATTTATTTATATATATATAT